CTGGATACCATTAAAAATAAAAATGATTACTAATTGATTTAGTAATTAATTCATTGTGAAATTCTGAAATAATCGAATGTAACCAATAAAAATAAAAATGATTACTAATTGATTTAGTAATTAATTCATTGTGAAATTCTGAAATAATCGAATGTAACCAATAAAAATAAAAATGATTACTAATTGATTTAGTAATTAATTCATTGTGAAATTTGTGAAATTCTGAAATAATCGAATGTAACCAATAAAAATAAAAATGATTACTAATTGATTTAGTAATTAATTCATTGTGAAATTCCGAAATAATCGAATGTAACCAAGATTTAATCCAATGTAAACTTTTTAAATCAATTAATTAATAATTTAATATCATAATTTATCAATTATTAAAAACTCAAGTTATTTAATAAACTCAAATTATCAATTATCCAAAATGATATTTTAGGACTTCTAAAATTTCACTAAGGTTATTATAGGTAATTCCATTATTCCTTTCTCATCCCACTTTTATATATAGTATAGATTTAAAGCATAAATTAAGCGATATACTGAGTGTAGATAAATGTTTTTAGTTTCGATTTGAAAAGACATTGCCCTTGAAATAGGCTAAATCATTAAAAGATTCTAAATTTTGTAGGTAATTTTAATTGTACCATAAATTCAATTTTCTTCTACTAATATCCTGAACTTCAACTTTAGTTACAATAGCAAATCTAATTTCAAATTGTACTCAATTATTACGATCCGAAACCATGGGCTAGACCGATACTAGGGCCTAGGTAAGCATAAACCCTAATGCCAATAGTAAGCCTGAATCACTAAATTCAACCATTTCAATATGAATTTTAAAAACAGTCAGCTTATATCGCCATACATAATAAGTCTCACATTTATATTATGCTCTGGCCTAAATTTAGCATCTCAAATATTTCATAACTCAGGCCTAATTATTACATAAATGAATAATTAAGACATCCACACACATTTATCGGTATAATCTTACAATTACAGAGTAACAGATAGATGTAAATAAATTTTTGTACATATAGCTATATAATTTAAATATGGGCTAACTGATTCATGCATATACATAAATGAATAATTAAGACATGCACATACATTTATCGGTTATAATCCTACAATTGCAGAGTTCACTAACAGATAGATATAAATAAATTTTTGTATATATAGCTACATAATTTAAATAACTACTGATATTGAAAGTTACTTTTCTAGCTCTGCGGTGAAGAAAACAAAGCTCTAACCAGGACAGTGAAGAATCTACTTCCTCGAAATATTAAATAAAAGAGAAATGAGCTTTATAATGAATAATAATTAATACATAAAATAAGCATTCACACGAAAATGCTTCCTAAAATACTAAAATGACCACAACTAGTCAAGCATATGGCCCAACATCAGCACTCACAAGTAATTACATATTCAAATAATCAAACAAGTGAAAATTGATTAGTGGCATCATCGAAACCCCGATGAGACATCCTAACACATGGCCCGGTCTCTCAAATATGTGCACCAGGGAGCCGATCCTCCATACATAGCCGATCAATCTAATCCTCACTTGACTAGCCCTCTCATTTTTTTTCCATCCTACCTTTTTTTTTTTTCATTATCAACAGGAGGCCACCCTTTGGTTTCCATATAATCCATATCATCAGATGCATATGAGGGTGCCGATCTCCCCATACATGGCTGACGGTATCGAGGACTGCCCTCACAAATCCTATGGTGACCCACTTCATCCCAATTTCACGCAAACAAGGCAAAACAATCTCAGAATGCAATTAATCAAACAATGCGATTAAATGTAAGCATATTAAATAATTAAATATTATCATACAATTCATATACAAATACAAATAAATATAAGAGTATTAAATAATAATATAATATATTAATTGATACTTGAAAATAAATAAATAAATAAATAAACAAATCAAGACAAAGCTTTGTATAGTAATGACTTTATGTATGATGCAAATGGTATATACTAATTATTATTACTTACAATGTTGAATGAGAAAATACTCTAATTTTGGATTCTAACTCGTTGAAGCAGCGAGCAAACTAGAGCAATCCAAACAAAATGGAATCTAATGGAGAGGAAAGAATTGAATAAAGCATTCTCCTAAATTGGAATAAAGGCTTATCCTAAATAATCCAATAACCTATTTAACAAGTAAAACTAATCTAGATTATGTCGAAAGTTCGGCAGAACTTCCCTTAAAAATAGGACTACTCATTTGCTCAAATAACAAGAAATTATTACAAATCTATCAACCATTACATATAGCCCATCCATCAGGCAATAAGACAAATTAAATTCTCATCCTCCTTTCAGAACAACGATATCGACACTCAATCATTAATTTACAACTTACAATACCTTCAATCATGTTCCAATGATATCATTAATCATTTTTTGCTTCGCATTATAGTTTATAAGTTCATTCATACAGACATGCATGAAAGCATATATTTACATATGCGTGTGTCTGTAGTTCATAACTCAGCTGCCATTTCAAAGCTAAAATCAGTATTCCTAGTTATTATCCATTGCTAACTGACTAATATGCTAACAATCAATAAGAACTCATACTTTACTTCGCATTATAGTTTATAAGTTCATTCTACACAAAAGCATGAAAGCATATATGTGTGTGTGTATCCATTGCTAACTGACAAACATGCAAATAATCAATAAGTCATTCATCATCTCTGTTTATTAAAATTTATCATCATAATCCTTTTTAAATTGATTGTTAACTGAAGACTTAAATTCATAGAACTAAGCAGGCTCTACTTTTCCCAAATTTATGGAACTTGGTGTAGCCAGCTACTGTCGATTCAGCAAACGTCTCAGTTTCTAGGCTAAAATCTGTCCTAAATATGCTTAATTATTCATTTCAAACCAATATACAAGTATACAATATCAATTCTCATCTTAATAATTCCAGAACTCATAAAAAGAGTAAGCAATAATAAGCAATATGGCTGCTGCCATTCAAATAGAATCACAGTTATCCAATCAAAAATCATTTTTCATATGCTAATTCATTCATTGCCCATCAATGATTTAAGGTTATTCATCATCCTCTACATATATGAGCAATAACTCAAGCATACAACTATGGTAGTGGCTGCATTTCTAGGAGATTTGTGATTTCTTATCAAGTTTTATCTTCAAATACTTCCACGACCGCTACAAGTCGTGCGATCCAGGAAAAGCAAAGAGGATGTCCCTATTCCCTCTATCTCTATCTTATAAATCAGTTAAAAAAAATTGAAGGATTAATGGCTGAGATGAGCGATTCTGGGCAAGGACGAGGCAGAGTTGCTCCTGTTTGAGGATGGAGTCGCAGGAATAATTAATTGGGAAAGGGAGAGGGCTACCGCAAATCGGGAAGAAAGAAAAGAAGGGAAGGGGACTTAATGGACATTTCCTATTTTCTAGAGCCTTCTCATTGGTTCTAGAATGATTTGGTCCAAATCAAATAAAGTCATGGATTTTGAATGGTTTTCCCTTTATTTAAGGGTTCTCTATCGGTTTAGTTTGATTTAAATGCTTGGTTTGGTAATTAAAATATATTTATATTGGATTTTGTTTATTACATTTATAAAATAATGCTCTTGCTATTTTAAATATAAAAATAGACCATAATATTTTCGGTTCAAAATTGATATTTAAATTTTTAAATGAAAAAGTTTTGAAAATAAGAATTTAGGTTGTTTCATCAATATTAAAATAAAAAATAATATTTTATTCATTAAATAGAGTACAATTAATGAATAAAATATTATTTTTAAATTATAATTAATCTTAAAATAAAAATAATATATTCATCATAAAAATAGAGTACGTTTTATTTTTTATTTATATAATATTGACAACATGTAATGATTCTCTATAAATAAAATTATACCGTAATGAATAAAATATATTCTTATAAAAGATCTAGCTAAAGTATAATTTCAATAAACCCTAATTAAAATTCCATGCTTAAAAAATGGCTAAAAGACTAAACTAATAATTTATGCATAACTAACTAAATTTTATTTTTTTACTTAGCTTTTTATGGATTTAAAAAAAAAACTCTAACCAATCTTAATTTGGTTGTTGTTAAATGGTGAGTTTTTGATTAACCTGACCATGTAGGTCCAACGAAAATAATATTTTATTCATTAAATTATGTACAATTTTAAATTAGAGTGCTATTATAACTAAAATTGAAATTATAAGAAAGTTGGATTTAGAGTACAATTAAAATCATCCGCAAAGTTTGAGTTATTTTCTATGAGTTAGCCCTTGAAATAATTATTATCATTTGTTAGCTAATTACTCTTTCTGTTTCAAAATATAAATCGTTTAAGGTTTTTACATAATGATTAAGGAAGTAATTAACTCTCTTAAATTATAACAAATTTAAGGGTAATTTGATCAAATTATCATTTATTTCAAAACTAATAATTACTTGGGAAGTATTTATTGTATTTAGTGTAAATAAGAGTAATATTAAAAAAACATCATTTATTACTTGTTGAAAATATACGAAAACAATTTATATTTCGAGACAAAACGATGAACCAAAAACGACTCCTATTGTAATATTAAAAAAACATCATTTATTACTTGTTGAAAATATACGAAAACAATTTATATTTCGAGACAAAACGATGAACCAAAAACGACTCCTATTTTGAGAGATAGAAGGCAGTATCTCCCCCGGTGCTTGCTCGCTACAGCTCTATCATGCCTTAAAGACGGAATATGGTTTCACTCCATTAGCCTTGCAAAATATGCAATATAAACCATGGGCGTGAAATCGATGAGCATGCTTACAAAATATAAACCCTCTAAGGACATGTGCCCAGCATGCATCGTTGCGTGCAACACGTTTAGGATATTGCTGACACTTTTCATGATTGATATTGGGACAACCAAGTAAATTCACAACCTACATTCCCGTTCAGCCTGAAATATAGTGGCATTAGCTCTGTTCCTTTTCAAATTTTGTCCAGTTATGGCATCGTCGCACTCAACGAAAGTTCTAGATGTCTGCCAAATTTCACCAACCTTTGATTCACCGGAGTCAGCCACCGAGTTTTCCCTTCCTCTCACCTTTTTCGACTTATTCTGGTTAAGGTTTCCTCCGGTTGAACGTCTCTTTTTCTACCAACTTACCGATTTAACCCCTGCTTTCTTCAATTCAGTTATCTTACCTAAACTCAAACACTCCCTCTCTCTCACTCTTGTTCTCTATCTCCCCCTCGCCGGCCACCTTACATGGCCACCAAACTCTCCTAAACCTATCATCCTTTATACTCCAAGCACTGGCGTTCTACTCACAGTCGCTGAGTCAGACGCGGACACAGATCATCTTTGGAGTGATGAGATCCAAGTTGCTACAGAGTTACATCCATATGTGCCAAAGTTACCGGCATCTGAAACTAGGTCATCTGTTATTGCTTTGCAAATCACTTTGTTTCCAAATAAGGGGTTTAGCATCGGTTACTCCATTAACCATGCAGTTCTTGACGGTCAAAGCGTAACCATGTTTATGAAAGCTTGGTCTTACATATCTAAACATGGTGAAAGATCTTTATTACCTGAATTATGTCCATTTTATGATCGAAATGGTTTAAAAGACCCAAAAGACCTCGAATCACTGTTCTTGGCTCAGTGGGAATCCATAACTGAGTCCGAGTCAAGAGGCAATCCTCGAAGTTTGAAAGTGTTGTCCCATATAGATCAAGCGACTAACAGGGTTCGATCTACGTTTAAGTTAAGTACCGAAGACCTAAACAAAATCAAGAATAAGATTTTGTCTCAATTGGAAAACCCAATTGATCATTTATCAGATTTTGTGATTACATGTGCTTACGTTTTAGTTTGCATGGTAAAAGCAAGAGGAGGAGATGAAAATAGAACCGTTTGGTTCTTGTATGCTGTGGATTGCAGGACACGTTTAAACCCTCCACTTCCTAAAAATTACTTTGGCAATTGTATTGCTGCTCATGATGTGATTGCAGTAGCGAGAGATTTCATGGAGGTAAATGGATTACCGATTATTGCCAAGAGGATTAGTGAAAGTATAAAGAGAATAAAGACAAATGGAGTCCTTGAAGGAGCAGAAGAGAAGCTATCAAGTTTAAAAAGTATTAAAAGTGGAGTACAAGCGATAGGGGTTGCTGGATCGACCCGGTTTGGGGTTTACGGGTATGATTTTGGGTGGGGAAAGCCCAAAAAGGTGGAAATAACTTCCATAGATAGAACTGGTGCAATTTCTTTCAAAGAGAGTAAAGATGGAAATGGAGGAGTTGAGATTGGATTGGCTTTGACTAGAAATGAAATGGAAGCTTTTGCTACTTTATTTGGTAATGGCCTTAAAGATCTTTGTTAAGTTTGACTTGCTATTTAGTCATGCAACCTTAAAAATGTAATATTATGATTAGTTACATCATAGTTTTGTAAACGAGTCAAATGCTTTTGAGCTGTTTAAGTCTCATTCATAAAAAAAAAAAAAAAAAAAAAAAAAAAAAAAATTATGATTAGTTAATCATCAGTTTGTTTGGTAAACGCAGTCAAATGCTGTTTGAGGCATGTTTTAAGGTCCTCATTCAATAAAAAAAAAAAAAAAAAAAAAAAACAAAGAAAAACCCTCAGTTTAATGAGGCTTTTCGAAATTCAGACTCGGACCTATGGAGCTATTTGTCAGAGCTAGCTTTCTTATTGTTTTTAGACCTGTGGTGTTGTGAAAAAGTATTGTTTTTTTGCTATATTCAGAACTCTAGCTAGGAGAGAAAGGGATGGTCTGTCGTTCTAAGTCTCACCCTGTTGTAATTATAAGAAAAAAAAAAAAAAAAAAAAAAAAAAAAAGAAAACCCTCATTTAATGAGCTTAACAAATTCAACTCGGACTATGGACTATTTGTCAGAGCTAAGCTTTCTTATTGTTTTTACCTGTGGTTTGTGAAAAAGTATTTTTTTTTCTAATATTCAGAACTCTAGCTAGGAGAGAAAGGATGTCTGTCGTTCTATCTCACCCTTTGTAATTATAGTACTCTTTTGTAATTGTGGTTAAGAGAAAAGATATCTGTCGTTCCATCTCACTCTTTTGTAGTTGATTCTGATAAACTGTAGTTGATTGTGATAAACTGTGATAAAATCTAATTATTGATATCTGTCATTCCATCTCACTCTTCTATAATTTCTCACTCTTCTATAATTTCTACGATTGTGATAAATTGTGATAAATTCTAACTACTCCTGAGTGTTGTGATAAAATCTTTTTAACAAATGTAAACAAGACTAAATATAAATAAGACTAAATGTGAGCAAAACTTTTTATTAAGACTTATTTAATGGGAAAAATGACATAGCAAGATAGTAACAAAAAATATTCAATAAACAAAAGATATAAATTCATCTATACGGCCTTCTAGAATGTAAGCTGCAATCCGTCCTGGATTGTGTGTTATTGGAGTTGATGCCCTTCTCGTTGCATAAGGCGAAAGTTTCTTCTTTTTTTTTTTTAATTTATTTCGCTCACTAAAAAGATCGTACATTATTATTTTGAAGGAATCAAGATAACTGTAGAAAGCAAAAGCAATTTTATTTGGTTTGAAAAAGAAGGAAAAATAATTAAGAACGAAAAAATTAATTTATTTTCCTTCCTATCTCAGATCTCGATGAACCAACGACATTAAACTTGAGGATACCATCTCCCAAATAGTCCCAAGAAGAAGGGAGAGAAAGGGGACTATTATTTTTCTTCCTTCTTTTCAAAAATTTGCGTGAATGCACCAAAGAAGCAAAAGGAACCAGTTGTAATTTTGTCTAGCAGCTGATCATCTTCTAACTATGTTTTCTTCAAAATGAAAGTGTTTCTCTTCCACCAAATGGTCCATAAGACTAAGTAAAAGATGGACATCCATACTAAAGAATTTCCTTTTAAGATTAGACTTTTCCATTGCCAAACTAAATCTGTTACTTTTGAGGAAAGAATCCCATAAGCACCCACTAATTAAGTACCAGGTTCCAGATTTTGAACGATTTGGGGCAAGAAAGGAGGTAATCTTCCAGTTGAAAAACACAGAACGCACAATGCAATCTTCTATGGAAGAAATTATTTTTCTCTTAAAAAGATTAACTCTGCAGGGAATTTTATTAATGAAACTCTTCCAAGCAAATAAAGAGATTCTGGAAGGGAGGAACGAAATTCCAAAGAAATTTCATATTGTAGTTGAAAGTTAAGGGGCCCAACTCCTGATGTTCCAACTGAGAGTAAAGGGATTTGATTGAGAAAACACCTCTTTTGTCAAAGATCCAAACCAACTTGTCCTTCCTTCCCAAGAGAATTGAAGTATCTTTTAAGATTTATGAGAGTTGCTCACGAGACATTAACTCAGATGCCTCGGATTACAATTCCAAGTCAAATTCCACTGCCATGATCCGTTAATAGAATAACTACAACTGAATACTGAGGCTGATTTGAGAGAGGAAATACGGTAGAAACATGGAAAAGATAATTTGAGTGATAAGTTCAATAACTATATATCCTCTGAAAATTTTATTGATCTACCATCTCCTAACAGCCACCGAAAGCCATTAATCAAAAGATTAGCTAAATGGGAAGAGTTAGAGCAAGATGAACTATGTCTTTCTAAATTAGCGATAATTTCCTCCAAATGGAGCTTTCAATATCAAATTTAAGCCATGCATTTAAACCGTATTTAGATTAAAGGACCTTCTTCCATAAAAATCCATTTTCATTTTTAAAGCTCCACCACCACTTTCCAAGAAGAGCATTATTTTTTTTTTGCTACAGTCTTGAATATATCTGCAAGCTGCTGATGTGGCGTTTTTCATTTAACTGATGTGATAAACTGAATTTGTCTAAATAATTTCTCCTTATACTCACATGATAATAAATATATCAGTTTTATCTTACACTTACATGTGCTGGTTATTTTCATGTTAGGATTTATGGACGTATATATTATGGTTATAATTATGTCTATTATAAAAGGCCTGGTTCCTAATATTAAATTTGATCTAATTTGATTAAAATTACTATGGGCCTAAATTATATTGTAAAGTATGGGTTTAAATGGGTAGATATTTTGAATATAATTTCTAATTTTATGATAAGTTAAATTAAAAATTAAGGAATTTGTGTGTAGCTATATTAGGATTATGGTCACCAAATCATACGTATGATTGTTTTCTAATATCCCATCATTAAAAAATACAGAGATTTTTTCTTTTTGATCATGCATATCAATCCGGAATAGCAATAACCGCAGGACACAGAGTCTTTATAAATCTCATGATCTAGACATGCTGCCGCACTTAATATAATAATTTCTTGATGAATTGACATGATGAATTATGGTTAGAAACGAATTTAGAATTGAGTAAACAAGTGGTATCAAAGCTCCCTTCATGTTGATTCATTGAGTTTTAAATCATAAAGTTATTATTAAATAAAAAATAAAAGGGAACAAAAATCGTATTTAGTGTTCCTTCTGGAATCATATATCTCCTTTGTGGTTGTTTAGTTGTTACAGTATCTTGGCTTTCACAATCCATTCTAAGCCAAGTCACCACTGTACGGTTTTGTTGTTTTGTTGTGTTAGAAGTATATGCAGTATATGTGTTAATCCTTTTAGAAATAATTATGGTATTTTGTCTTTTATGCAATTGCCATAATTTTAAATCCTATCTTTGTTAACTTTCGCATATGTACTGTATATATTTTATAGAATATGAATTACTTAAGCTTCTGCAGGTTGGACCTTTTGATTGTTTTGGTCGTATATTGATATAAGCCATTTAACTGCCTTCTTTAATAATAATAATAATAATAATAATAAGAAGGAGGCAGCAGTGAGGATTTTTTTTTTTTTCAAAAAAAAGATAAAATAGAACGGGCTTGGTTGATATTATTTAATAAATTAATTTTCTTTATTTAATCCATTTATTGATCATCGAAAAAAGGTTCTCTTACTTTGGTAAGAGTTTTATTTTGGAGTCGCCATCCTCTTTCTTGAATTAGTCGATTCTAAATTCGGTTTTAAACTAGAGACTGGCTAAGAGAGTTAGGTACGGTATCGGAAAAGTGTTAGGCACCCGAACTGCCCGGTTTAAGCCAGCCTCCATGTGGTCCATTAATTCACAAAGGTCAATAATATAATTAACTTAAATTGAAGTGTAAATTTGGTTTTAATATATTATTGACACTAAAAAAAACGCGGTTTTGCGACCGCCCTATTTCGATTCAAAATTGCGATTATGTTGTGACCACCTGTGATGAATGTTGAAGTAACATAGATTTACAGACAGATTTGCGATCAATTTGCAACATATTTAGCAATGAAATTGCGACTGACTAAATATCCGTCACTAATTCTAGCGCTAATAACTCCCGCGAGTTTGGTTTTTATTTTGCGACCCCACGGTGATGAATTAGAGACCGAATTTGCGACGGATGTGCGACCATGTCACAGTCCATCGCTAAATTGCGCAATGTAGTTTAGTGCCAAATTTAGTTTCTGGTTTGCAATGGATCAGTGACAGATTTGCGACCCACATTTTGCGACCGATTGTTTTCGTCGCAATTCGGTCGCAAATTATTTGCTTGCAAGACGATATCACACGATTAAAAATTCCGACCGATTTTTATTTTGTGTGAATTTTGACTCGTTTTTTGTTGTAATTTTTAATGGATAATATATTTTTTGTTGTAAATAGGATTTGTTGGAAAAATTGATGAAGTTTTTAAGTTTTGTTGTTTATAAATTTGCTTTTATTATAGAATTTTTTTGTTGTGATTTTGTATGAATGGATAATATTTTTTGTTGTAAATGGATCAGGTGACAGATTTTGGGCGACCCACATTTTGCGGGACCGATTGTTTTCGTCGGGCAATTCGGTCGTGCAAATTATGTTGCTTGCAAGGGAGCGATATCACACGATTAAAATTCCGAGACCCTCGGGATTTGTTATTTCGTGTGTGAATTTGATTGACGCGTCGGTTTGTTGTTGTTGTAATTTTTAATGGAATATTATATTTTTTGTTGTAAAGTATAGGGAAGAGTTTGTTGTGAAAAATTGATGCAGTTTTTGAAGTTTTGTTGTTGTAAATAGGAATTTTGCTTTTTATTACATAGAATTTTTTTTGTGTGTGTGGAGTTTTGTAATGAATGGATAAGTATTTTTTGTTTGTAAAATTTTATTAGATGATGGAGGTAATAGAAAAATGACCCTAAATCTGGAAATTGTAAAGAAATTGTAAAAAATAATGCACAATTATTAGAATTAATTGTAATTTATAACAAAAAAAAATTAATGAGTGTAATTTATAACAACAGTTAATTAGTGTATTTCGAACAAAAGTCAATATGTCTAATTTATAAGCTAAAAATTAGTAGTCATAAGAATATTATTTAAGTCAAATTAATTATAAGTCTAATTTTGTTAGAAAACACTTTAAAAATATTAGAAATGATTTTAATAAACCATATTTATTTAATA